ACAAATATTTATAATAGTTTTCAGCAAAAATTATCTAAAAAACCTATGGTTGATATTTGGAAAGAACTATTTGTAAACCAAGGTCAAAACTAGATCCTAAAGCACAAAACCGAGCACTCTCAATAATATATATATATATATATATATATATATATATTTTGTCAAATAGATTCAAAGTTATTAGAATTTAAGTAGGTTAAAACATTAGACATTAATAATTTGATAGTGAATAGAAAATTCTTAGATTTTCAACTATCCATTTTTTAAATTAAAATAAAATTTGTGTGTACAAAGTTTAAAATAAAATAATCCCTTAAGAAAAAAAATACAAAGTTTTTGATATGCTGTTATGTCTATTTATGATTTATTAGGATTTTTTGAGATTGATTAGAATTTAATTCAAAAATAATTATAGTTTAGTTAATATTTAATTAAAATTTGATTAATATTTAATTAGATTTTTTTAAAAATAAATTGATTAATTTTTTTAGAATTTAATTAAAAAGTAAATTTAATTATAATTTCTTTAAGATTTAATTATTTTTTGTTAGGATTCAATTCAAGTTTACTAAATACTTTTCTAGTATTAAAATAACGTACTTAAGTTACCTTAGAACTTGCTTAAATTTTATTTAAGTTGTTTATAGTTGAAAGCTACTCTTTACTTTCATCTAAAGATGTTTATAGTATTTTTTTTTAATTTACTTTTTTTTTTCTTGTTTTTGGCTTTATAAGTAATTGAAAGAATTTTTATAAAAAAATAACATTTATACTAAAAAAAATTATGTATATTTTTTTAAATTAATTTATTTGTATATTTTTTAACTTAGCTCTTTTATAATATAATATTTATTTTTATCTTTTACAAAAAAATCATATTATATACAACAATACTACCAAAGTATCTCTTGAAATAAGTTTTAAATTTTTATTATATCTAAAGTAAAATATTGTTAGAAAGTCGTATTGTGGTTGTAGTACATATAATTGGCTTGATCTTTTAGAATAAATAAATATCTTTAATAATCAAGAAGTTTTTATTTAAATTCAATTTTCTACAATTATCATGAAGGTTATGTCTTACATAAAAATAAAAAAGAAATTCTATTCATATAATTTTAAAATATTCATATAAAAAAAATAAAAAATAAAAACTAATTTTTTTGACTTAATGGTTTAAAGATGCAATTACTTTGATTTGAAACGAATAGTCTATTGTTGATTCCTATGTTGAATCTTGTTCTTTTGGTCTTAAATAAAAACATCTAAACAAGGAGTTTAATTTTATTTTTTATTTTTTAAGACAATATCTAATATTAAATAAAAAATTAGAGAAAGACATGCTTTAAAAGCCTTGGAAATAATCTTAGATATGTACTAATATAATTTTCATACGATTCTTGTAATTGGTATAAATTTTAATTAGAAGAAAAGCATCTTTTAGATAGGCATGCCATTCTTAATGAGAATCCAAAATATTAAAAAGTTAATTTTTTTAAATCTTTAAATTAATCTCATTGGCAAAAAAATATCTTAAATAAAAAGAAATATGATAAAATCTATCATCAACATCTATTTGTAACAAAACTTCACCTAATCCAAAATTTAATGTATTTTTTTCTATTAAAATAGTTTCAAAAACTTAAGGCCATATAAAATATGAATTGAGGTGAAATAGTTTTTTAGACCTTCAAATGCTACCTCTACATCTTTATTATTCCAACTTATTTTTGAAAGTTACGTTAATTAGTAAAGCAATAACTTGAAAAAAACTCTTAATAAATATCTAAAGATTGTTTACAAAACTTAATAACCATTTGACATTAGGTATGGTTTTTGGAGTTTTTTAATCCATAATAATTTGTATCTTCTTCAAATCTATTTAGAATCTATCATTTGTAATTATAAATTTTAAAAATTCTATTTTAATTATATAAAATATATTTTTTTTTAACTTTATATACAGCCTTATATATTTAAGTTTTTGTAAATCTAGGCAATCATGTTGTTCATTTTTTTCTATAGTCTTAAAATAGATAATAATATTGCTTAAGTAATATACAACTAAAGTTTTTAGAAATTCACAAAGTATTTTATTTGTTTAATGTTAGAAAGCAATTGGAATTTTTATAGGTTTAAAAGTTATAACAATATATTTTAAATGGCCATACATAGCCTGAGAAATATTCTTGCATAATTTTTTTTTTATGTATACCAAATTTTAGGCCCTTAATAGATCTTATATATATATATATATATATATATATATATATATATATATATAACTTAGCTTTACGTAGATAATTAGCTTGAAGACTAAGGATGAAAATTCTTGATGGTCAATTGTTGAATCTTTAGTAATTAAAATATATTTGTAAGTATAAGAATTAATATATATATATATATATATATATATATATATATATATATATTTGAAAAAAATTGATTCGTCTATAAGAAATTTTGAAGGTATAATTTAATTATTTATATTTTTTTTATTAATTTATTGCTTCAAAGAAATAACTTCATGTTGTAATAAGGTATAAAGTGGTTCCAATGACAATTGAGGCCCTTCTAGAAGATCAATTGTAAAATCATAAGTTTGGTTTTTGGCAATATATCAATATTCTTTTTTTAAAAAAATATCTTGGTATTCTTTATGTTACTCTAAGCTACTATATCAACCTTTATTTCAATGAAGATTAGATACTCCATACATTACAAATGGATTTTGTTCTTTTAAAGCTTGCATAAATACAGTAAGTCTAATAAATAAAGTTCAAGATGGTTTGCTAGCATTTAGACTAGATCTTGTATTGACCTTTTATATTTCCAATTAATATTAAGATAATGTAATTTAAACCAAGAAAAGTCAAATATCACTTGATTTGAAGGATATTAAATGGTATTGAAGATAAGATTATATACTTGATTTTCTAGTGTAACTTTCAATAACTTGGTTTTTTTTCTTTTTTTTAATATCTCTAGATGCAAGGCATTGTCTATTCATAACTTCTACTACAACTAATTGGATTTCCCTTAAGAAATCAATTTTTATTGCAATGCAAACCAATTATTTATAAAAAAACAATAATGGTCTCATTTCTAAAAGTGCTCATGCTATGAATTAATTATTTGAAGTTTTAACAAATATAAAAAGTTTAAAACAAGGTATAAGATTTGATAGTAGCAAGAAATTTATATTTAATAGTTATAATCTAAAGTTATTTAACTTCAAGATTTCTATTATAATTGGGTTTTTTTTTTAAATCTTGATTAAATTTGTGCTTATAGTCTTTAAACTTGTTTATTTGATGTAACAACCTTCTACCTTATGACTTGATTTTCTGAAAATATAAACATTTTTGTTCATAGCAATATTTGTCTTTATTCTATAATGTTAACCACTTCAATTAAATTGTACCAAATTTCTTATATTATGGCTTTCATAAATAGACTTTTGAGGGATTATATATGTACAATATATGTATATATATATATATATATATATATTAATTTACCAATGTATTTATTAAATTAATCCATCCGTCATCATTGATTGAGAATCCAACTATTTTTTTATTGGTTTTTGACCAATGTTGATCTAATAATGGAGAATTTTGTGATGATGGTTAAGATGGGTGGATTGGTTTAATAAATACTTGGGTCAATTTAACAATTATATATATATATATATATATACATACTTATTCACTTTTTAAATTTTATTAAAAATTAAACAAATAAATAAGTTCTACTCTTAATATCCCTCTCCTCCCTCCCCCTCTCTTAAGTTCAGCTTGAGAGATAAACAAAGTAATATTGAATCCACCTTGGCATTAAACTACAATGACATTGATCCTTTGTTGTGGTTAATAACTTCTAAGTTTAAAGTTTTAATTTCTATTCTTAATAGATGAAAGACTTGATTTTTCCTATTAATGTTAAAAGATTCTTAATCTTCCAAGCTTCTAATGACAAAGAGAGTAAATAAAGACTTTTATGATTCAATTCATGTCATAAAAATTAAAATTTCTAAGATACTTTTAATTTTTTTAAGCTCCTAAAACAAATACCATTATTAGGTCTATCTTCAATTGTTAAACTCTCATATATATATATATATATATATATATAGACACATATATATTTTTCAGTTCTACTAAGCTCTTATTATATATGATTTGGAATGAGGTACTAGCAGAATATTACCATTGTATTGAAGCAACCAAAAGAACTCTTCAAGAAACAAATGATACTAAGTAATTTGGCAAAATTATTGTAATATTTGGTCGAAATTTTTGACAAGTTCTTCTTATTGACATGTAAGGCTCAAGTGAAGAGATTGTTGATAATTTTTTGCAACAATCATATATTTGAAGTGTGCAAATTGACCAAAAAATGAATTTTAGAAATAGTTAATTGTTAACTTAACAACCACAAACTACAATTTTATACTTTTTTCATGGCCAATCACATAGGTTTTTACTAATATATATATATATATATATATATATTTGATTCTATGTATTTTATTACTATTAAGCTATTATAACATATCACATAGAGGATCTTTTTGGCACCAATCACAACATCACTGTTTGTAAAATTAAACACAAATTCAGAATAAACAATTATAAGTAAAACAAACTAACACTTAAAATAAGCAAATTATATATAAATAGTGTTGAGAACACAAATTATCATATTGCAAACAAAATGACCTTTTAGTGAAATTATTGTGATTTATATTTAGATTGTTTAAATGCTAGTATTAGATTTACATTACTTAAAATTACCAATAAGATTAATAGGAATTGCCTTCCCCAAGATCTACAAAACATGTCAATCTATCCTAGTTGGGCAACCATAACAAATGGAAGGATAAGATTTGTTTGACAAATACCTGTAAAATATCAACTAAGCATTTTATTTTATTAAAGTAGTGTATATCCATTATTTTCTAATTATTTAGTAATTTGAAAAGAAAAAAAGAAAAAAAGAAAAAAATAAAAAATAAATAAATAGTATCAAGACTTCTTAAGCTCCTAATTGGCTTAACAAGCAGAAAGAAAATGACATGATCAAATAAAATTTCAATGGCGTACTAAACCAAAATTATCTCTTTAACTGAGAATAGACCACAACTCACTAAGCTTATCAATTACCTAGTACGAAGGTAAACTACCAACTCATGTTTTCCAGGCTTGAAACAATTGAATAAGCGAACGCTAGCGTTACCAATAAAAAATTCTTCTAGGCTGTAATGGCGCCACTCTTTACCAACCGATCCACTTCCACAGAGAACCTAAAACAAAATAGAGAAATACAATGAGTTTTCATCGCACGAAAATTGCTCCCTCGTGCTTCAGCTATGATACTGAACAAAAATTTCGAATCAGAAATGAAAGCGACTGGGTATTCATCATCTGTTCTAACAATGTTGGAGTAAAAGTAACTAAAAGCCACTGAAAAGGAAATACCTATGGATAGGGAACCCCATAATGTTGAAGTAGCAACCATGAATGCATTTTACAAAAGACCCTCCTAATCCCTGAAACAATGAAAGAATCATGAACCACGAACGCACAGTACCAATTTCATGCTTTAGCAACATCTTCAAATACAGCAAGGTTCTTTCCTAAGAGAAGAAATGCGACACAATTCAAAATTGACCTGCATCAGCTGACATGTACTTCGGAACAGGTACTCACTTGTATACCATATGCTCCAGCCTTATCCATTGGCTCCTCGGATGCAATATAGGCAAGAATCGATTGCTCCTCTAATTCGGCAAACTCTACCTAATCCCGATACCGGACATGTGAAGAACAAATCTTAGACTAAGGTTGGTTCCTGGCATTCAGCGAGGTGGCAATGCACAATTGAACAGCAAGAAAATCTTGCACACATCTACAAGACCAGATTTACATGAGCAGGAAAAGCTAAGACTATAATTTTTAATGATAATTTATTTCTTTTTTTCAAGTTGTAATTTCAGAGCCTTCATAGATTCGTATCATCATACCTCAGTGCCTTCATAAAATGATGTTAGAAGAGGCGAACTTCCCGAATTTGATCCTGGGAATGAAAAAGACTAAAAGTTCAGTAAATTTTTTCATAAAAGGAATAGCTTTTAACATTTTCATGGGAGGACCGTGAATAAGAGAAAGACAACAGTACAGTATGTTACCAGAAGACTTAGGGGTCACTAGAGCAACTCCTGTATAGACTTTGTGCACCTGCCCTGCACAGAGATAGGTGTAAAAATTTAAGAAGTATTTATGTTCAGAAATAAGAGTTCATGAAGAAGCCACAATTGTCCAATGTTGGAGTGAAAAAGTTCTGCAAATACTTCGTCTTTCCAAAATTCACGAATGAAAGAACAATGTCTCACCACTTAGACTTGACAGCATTCGGCGGGCATCGTCCACATCACGTGGTTTCTCCAGTACTTGTGACTACGCAACCGCAAACCACACAGCATTTCCATTCAGCTTCCAGAATTGCATAATAGAGGATCAAAAAACATAGTCTGAAACTTTGACAACACGACAAGAGGAATGAAAATTACACCAAGCTCAACAACAGTATCCGCTGCAATGATCAAATCTGCTCGTTTGCCAGAACCAGCCTGCAAATTTCCAAGTTACACGAAGTCGGCCCATGAAATTGAACTGTAATCCATCTCTAGATTGGATTTCTAGGGTAGAACATTCAAGAACTAATCACCGAATTGTGTTTTTCAATGCCCATCCAATCGTTATGAGGAGATTCACTCTCAACATCATGCTTCAGCACCCACAAACTGACAGGGAAAAAAATAAAAATAAACTCTCAGACCACCATGTACGAACACAGTCCAACAGATTACAACCCAATGTTAAATGTATCCTTGGAGTTGAGCAGCTCAAACCTCCTGGATTTTTTGATAAACATCATGTGCTTTACGAGTAGCTGTTTCCTTAGCATACTCTGCATAACCAAAGACACAAACAAAAAAATTGTAACCAACACGCCTCATGGTAATGCAAGACTGCGGGCGGAGTGGCTTTGATTATGAAGTTGCAAGTCCAGGTAAAAATGACTAATACAAAGCAACGTGAATTCACAAATACAATTGATTCAAGAAAATTCAAGTACCTCCTGGATTCGCAAACAACGATTTATCAAGATCTTCCTCAAACGTAGACGGGAAAATCTCAATCTTCAGACCCTGCATTGATACGCAGCACAGTCAAACGACACAGTAGAAAGAATTATGCAAAAAAGTCTCCATAATTCCAAAAGAAAATTCGATGACAGGTGCAGAGAATTACCAGCCCACGCAACAGCTCTGCCCTTCGAGGTGAGGCGGACGCCAACACAATCCGCTTAGTACTCAGCAACGGCACATGCTGAATCAACATTATGATCCTTTATTTTTTCCACTTTCACCCCTCTGCAAGCCACAGGCATTCCAGAACATCACAACCCGGAACTCCACAATGCCATCGAGCCTTGAGTTGAAATTCACGTGACCTCTCCTCAGCTGACCAAAATTCCACCTCGTAAGACATCCCTCGTCACGACACAATCCAGAGACACACAAACATGGCACAACACTACAAAAAAAAGTTTTTAAAAAAAACACGCTCAATTCATCGAAACACTTCCAACTGATTCAACACGCGCAACAAGATTCTTTCCGCTAAACAAGAAATTAAGCCGTAGGCAGAACTGAACTAACACCTTCTAATCAAATCGATAAAAACAAAACACACAAGCTTCGATTCATGAGACGTATGAATCCACAGCTTTCGAAGCCATAGCCACCATGTTTTAGGGTTTGCTTTGCTTGGTGAAGCTCGGAACCGTTTCACACTCACACAACTTCCAGGGGCCGATAATATTGGTTTGCCACGTGTACGACCAGCATAGGGCGGCATATTGTACCAAACCGAAGAGGCCTTCGCTTCAGATCCCAAAACTAACTTTAGCTTTTTGTGACGACGTTGGGTGATATTTACTTTTTCATTCATCCAATATTTACGATAAAGTTGAGGACGATGTTACTAGGCAATTAAAATAATGAAGAGGTTTTTCAAATGCTCTACAATAATTTCAAGCAAAACATTAGATACTACCATTTGACTCATCTTGGTTGATGAAGTAAAATAAAATCATTTATTTGTAATTTTGTAAACCATGTGCAATTTTAACACTGATTAATGAATCTATGCTAGGAGTAGATTTGTATATTTTGATCATTTTTTAATAAGTGAATTTTTAGAGATTGATAAATTTATAAGTGTTTCTTTAAAAGTAATTAGCATAAAAATCTCTTTTTAGATATGCTTAATTTAATACCTATCACAATCTTTGAAATTATTACTTTCAAAGAAAAAAAGTTTATGTATTCAAAATATTGAAAACCATACAAAAAAATAAATGAAGTAAATTTCTTAAATAGTTAAATTTAGATTTTAAGTCATTTTTTATTATAATTTGATTGATTGATGAAAAATGCAACATTGTAATATCGTAGATTTAGGACTACATTGTCTCTTATTTCAAACATAGTTATCTTGATTTATTCATTGTATACCATAAATGATTAGGCTTATCAACCAATATATGACACATAACATTGAATATATATATATATATATATATATGTTCATGTTTGTGGACGTGAGCATATTGCAAACTTGATAAAAATAAATGTTGCTATTTTGTATTTTTTAAATAATATAGATACCAGAAATTGTGCAAAATATTAAAACACACTAAGAAGTAATAAAAAATAAAACAAATAAATCACCAACAGCTTTAAAGTGGAAAACTATTAAAAACAATAGCCATAGTTTCAAACATTAAATAGAATTTTAGCAAAGCAACCTAAAATCAAAATCACAGTTTTTATTTTATCGTAAAAGCACATCAAAGAATCTTCTAAAAAAACAAGTATCAAGATATCATGTTGGATTTCATTATCAATAAGTACCATTGTAAATTACATTATTAAGGTGTGTTTGCAAATTCCATAATAATATTGTTTACATTGTTTGGAGTGAAATATTATAGCATAATACTTCCAAGGGTTTGTAGTAGTAATAATAATAATGATATATTTCTTCTTATTCATTTTTACATTTGAAATACTATATATATATATATATATACATACATATATATTTGTTAGAATTGAAGACTCTTTCTTTGTTTTGGAAGTAATATGTTAATAGATTTCAAAAATTGCTTATAACATTGTCAAAAAAAGATGTATTAAGAATTTTCTAAAAACAATCATAGAAAAGAAATTGAAAATAGCATATTTTTTTGTCATTTGGAAATTTATTTACTGTATTTGTATTATTGATTGAAGAAACATGGACTCAATGGTTTGCTATTTGGATTTAAGGTTCCAAACTCGTTTCAATTTTTTTTTTTTTTTTTTTTTTTTTTTTCAAGTAACTGCAATATATATATATATATATATATATAGATAGATAATTAAAAAAATTAAAACAATCACTGGCCATAATAATAAATATTATCAAATCATTCATTATATTGATAACTACTTGATCTACATGCAATAGCTTTCGTATCAAATATCACATCCAAATGATTATACAACTTAAAAAATAAGACTTGATGACTTGAAAATAATTGGAGTTGCTACAATAGCAATACTCAAAGAAATAATTCATATTAAAATACAAAGAAATACATTAAACTTGACATAACATATTAAATTCTTATACTTCAATTTAAATTCTCCATTCAATTGGCATAAATAGTATAAAAACCAATTAAAAAGACTTTTTTTTTATGATCATAGAGTTTTTATTAATATTTTTAATATATATATATAAATATGTTTTTTATTACAAAAAGCCTAAGATCCAAATCAATCTTTTTACAAAAAATTCGAATTAGAATTATATATTACATAAAATGATGTAGTTGAAGCTTATAGCAAAACATTGATCATTGATTTAATTTGTTAAAAAGAAGATATAACTAAAGGTATAGCATCAAAGTTCTATTAAGGTATTCACCAAAAGAAATATATAAAAGTGTATATTTATTGTGATATTATTGATTTACCATAAATAATACCAATAATATTTGAAATAATTTTTCTATATTACTATGAATTAAAAGTAATATTATTATTCAAGCAATAAAAATATAAATTTCTACATGAATTATATATATATATATATATATATATATATATATATAAATATATATATTACATATTTATAATTATATATACTAAATATATAAATATGTAATATTATAAATATATAATATTATAAATATATATATTCATACCACCAATGTTTCTTTTGTTAATTAGTAGCATATGTTCCTAAAATAAAAGTATTGATTATCAAAGATTATTAATTATTAGAGGTAATACATTAAAGTCAAGATAAAAATCATTCTTATTAGAGTATTAAAATTGAAATTAGCTCCATGAGCCTTGTCTTACCAAATAACACATATAATCATATGGCTTTTATTCATTATCTCTATTTATTAATAATTTTTAACATAAATCATCTAATTATTATATATTAGAGATTAATAATTAAACACCAAAGATCATAATCAGCTTCCAAAATTTTTATTTACTTTTGTAAGCTCTTTCTTTTCAAAAGATTAATTAATAAGTATTAAGGATATGAATCTTGAAGAAAGGATTTCTTATTATACTCTTGTGACATTAAAAAGAACTAAAAAGTCATTCAAATATGATATAATATTCAACTAGGATGGCTATTGCCAAAAATAAGAAGACTAGAAAGACTTGAAACAAGACTAAAGACTAGAAAGGCATCAAGAAGAGTCAAGAAGGCTTCATTCTTGCCTCCATATATACTCTTAACTAAAAGCTACATGGCAATGTCCTATAGGACCTCAAAAATGTGTTGACTTTGCAAAATACGTATCTTAATTTGTAAGACAAGTTTTCTATATGTGTGCCATATAGTTAACTTGTTTTGTAAGCTATCAATATGTGGTTAACTTGTTGACCAAGTTTCTAACCTACCAATCAACTACAAATACATTTAAGGTCAAAGCAATATCTATGAAGCTTTTCTAGAAAATATTATGAAATTAACCTATTTTTATCTATTTTTATCTACTTCTATCTAATTATATGAGTATTTACAAGAGTACTTATGTACATCCGTGACATTAACACTCATTCTAGAGAAGAGTTCTACAAGGATATTCTTCATATGTTGAAAAAATCTAAGATGCGACAAATTATATTTGCTACATATTCTGATCTTTGTTCTCTTCAAAAAAGGTAAATAGGTCCTTTCAGCCATCAATAGTGTCTCCTATTTGGACAAAAAGACCACCATGTTATTTAGTCATTATTGAGGCCTTTGTAACTTCCTTCAAATAAAACATTTGAAACATCGTCAGGAGTTGTTTCTACCTCTAATAAAATCACCAAACATTTGGAGTCTCTTTCAAAGTCATGATACCAAATACGTTGTATCTCGCCATCTTTTTGTGGAAGGACATGTTGTTCTTAAGGATCTTCATGTTGATTTTATCATCTTGAAGGTTGTGACAATTATAATGTCTTATTTGGTAAGTTTGCAAATGAAAGTTTTTAAGTTGAATCTGCTAGTTATTGAATTTCCATCTCCTTAGCATCACAAATACATAGAAGCTACAAAGAAGGACAAAATTTAGAATATTATCTTCTTTTAACCTTGTTTCTTTTATAGTAAAGATTTTCTATTCTTTATCTTTGTTTTGATAGATGTCATCAATAAAAAGATTCAACTCTCTTTGCTGTATTTATAAGATTCTTTGATAGTTCTTATGTGCATTCACTAATATTATATTCATGCCAATGAATAAGATATTGCAATATATTTTGATGCCACCTTGAATATAAGACTTTTTCCACTTGGAATTCTTAATTATTATCCATTTGTCTAAGAAGAGGTGGCATTTGTCTTCTTCCTAAGATTTTTACTATCTTATATGGCTCTAAAAAGGACATATGAAATACGAGGTTGATCTTCATAGACTTTGGTAGATATAATTAATAAGCAACATGATTAACTTGTTCACTAATAGAAAAAGATCTAAACCTACGATAGTCCAACATGTCACAAGAACAAGTAATCTTAATATTGTGACAAAATAACTATACATTGTCACCTACATTGAATTTTGGTTGTTCTTTGCAATAGGCATTTGCATTAATTTTTTGTTATTCTTGAGCTTCCTTTAGCAATGCCTTCATTGTTGCATGTAGCTTCGACAAATAATTTACCAAATCTTTTGCTACATAATTATCAACTTTTGAAAATTCAAAAGTATCAAATTATAGATGATAACCATAGTTGGAAAAGAAAGGTGGTTTTAGAGTGAAAGAATGTACCAAATTATTTTATATAAACTCTACTAATGGTAAAAGAGTTGTCCAATCATCTTGATGATAGTTAATAGTATACTAAAAATATTATTTTAAAACTTGATTCACTTGTTCTGTTTGTCCATCAATTGAAGATAAAAAGCCAAAGAGAGCTTCATATCCATCTTTAAAATCTTGAAAAGGGTTATCTAAAATCTTGATATGAATTGAATTTTTATATCTAATATAATATCTTTAGATAATCCATGATAGCAATAGATGTTATTAAGAAAAATCTTAGTTGTTTTTTCACTTGTGATAGATTTTATACATGGTAAAAAATGTGCTATCTTAGAATAACAATATATTATCACGAATATAGAATCATATAAATTTGAGACTCAAATATCAGAGATAAAATCTATAGAAACAA